GTTTGCTTTTCTAGCATGGTCTATGTTGCCAAACGACAACTACTAATAAGCATCTGATTAAATAAATGATGGTATAGCCATATAAGGAAATCTTCTGAGACTGTAAAAGAAGAAAAAAGAGATAGTTCTGTAATAGCTTATCTTAAGAAAATATTAAGGAAAAAAAAGCCTTGCAGAACAGAGCTCTTGGTGAGCTGACATTACTGTAAAAAAACAAAGTATATATGTATAGACGAATGTGCGCGTACATGCACATGTTTACATACATATTAGTGCTGCACTTGCAAAGGCTTTTCTAGAAGGATACATAAGGGAGCTAGCTGCTCATGGAGAAGAACTAGGGGATTGGAAGTTTGAGGCCTGAGAAAAAGATTTGCTTGGTTTGTACACACTTTTGTGTTACTTGAAATTTTACTTTTTGGTTTTGGTCAATAATAACTTTTTAAACTGAAGAGTTAATTAGAAGAAAGGAGCGAAAGGGTTGAAGGCAGTAATGTTTCCAATCAATGAAGCTGGGCCTCCATTTCCCTGACCCAAATTTGACCTATGTAGTCTCGATTGTGGCAAGATACGTGTGTGCGTGCACACGCAGTGTGTCCTTAGTTGAAGTTTCATAATTAATAAATCTAGTGAATAGTTAAACTAAAGAATCCTGTTTTCTCCCCCTTTCACATTGATCACCTTTTTTTTCAATGTCACTGATTCACCCATTGACTAAGAAGCCCATAATTTCCCTACACCACTAGATGCTACAGAAGTACCCCACCAAAGGGGTTTCGCTTCATATTATTTGTCCCCTAACAAAAGGGACAAAAAGGCTCAAGTAATAATACCAGAGCCTAATAATCAATCAAGTCAATTCAGTTTCAAGTTTCTTAAAACTGCCTTTTTGAGATGTGACAGTATCACCAGGAAGTCAGCAGGGGGCACCTCAAATACATCCTGTGCTAAGTGGGGCTGAGCTCTGCCAGGCCAGGGCTTTGCTGTTGGGTCTGAAGTTATCTCTACTGTGAAATCCTCAGCAAAAAGGCATTCATGAATTTGCATATTCAAGTGATTGACTAGGTCTCACAGAAAGTCTTTTTTTATGTCCTATATGGACTTAAATTTTTGTTTTGTGTTTAACTTTTTTGGAAAAGGGAAAACCTACTTATAAATGAACGTGGGTTCTAAACTTGGTGTGTAATTTGTGAGACATTCTTTTCAGTTTTAGAGCTGTCTTCTAGGAAAGGCCTGTGTCCTGTCCCCTTGGCCCTACGGTCCTTTGTGACAGCATCTGTCTGGAATGTTCTGTCCTTTTCCCCTCACCATAAAGACTTGTTTTGGACATACCTAGGAATGGGTTTTTGGGGCTTTTTTTTTTTTAATGCTTTCTTTTTAAAAGTGTCTTTTATTTTCTTAACTTTATTCAAACAAGTCTTAACACTATATTCTTCACATATATTTATATATTCTCATATGTAAAAATACGTAAGCATACGTTGTTGTTGTGTTGTTGGCTTTTCATTGTTTTTGGAAGGGGAAAATTGCACGACTATCCCCAACTCAAGAAAAGTAAAATCCTTATATAACCTTATGATTTTCCTGATACCTCACAACCCTCACCCTGCCTCAAGGAAACAAAATAACCCTGATTCCTTAATGCAGTCCTGGTGGGAGAAGAAATTGGTAGGAAATTGACCAAATACAATATTTACTTATATTTTTAACTTTTCCACGCTACAAGAAACTCTTCACTTTGCCCAAAGAACTGTATTTTATTTGAGTTAACTATTTCTGAAAAAGTCATTTGGCGTTCTTTAACACAGCTTTATTGGGTAGTGGATTAGAGAAGAGTTCTTGGAGTGAATAATATCGAGGTACATTTTGTCTACATGTGAAGATAGCGGAATGAATCCCACTAAAGACTGTTGAAAAGCAGGAGAAAATAGGGAAAAGAAAGAATAATAAAGGATTAGTGTAGTCAAAGTACACCATATGCACTTATGGAATACCATGGTGAAATCCCTTTGTACATTTACTATGCAGTAATTAAAAGAAAAGTGTCTGCAATACCAGTATCCCTACTCATCAGCTGCTCAGTAGGGAGCTCCACCCTCAGCACCAGGTCCAGAGCTGCTGACCTCTCTTCACCCCACCCTTGCCAACATGTCATCCATCTTTGCAGCTCAGATCAGTTCATGTTCCTCTGTCTGCAATGCTACTTAGGACGTGGGTGGGCAGTGGTGGAAAAACCCTTAGGACAATGTTTAGTAAGCATCTTTGTTTGTTTTCTTATTTAAAAAAAAATTAACAGACTTTAAAATATTTTTTACATTCATAATTTTTATTTGTAAATTTTATGTGTATCAACCATTATTTTTCCTACATAAAAATAGGAGTATTTTATGACAGAAACCAGATCCACCCCAAAACTTAGTTGTTCCATCATATTTTGTTTAGTAAAGAAGCCACAAAATAAAATCTACATGTACAAAAACATCTGCTTCCCAGCTCTTTCTGGTTTGCAATTACAGTGACATTAAAATTTAACACAGCAAATACATTTTTTTCTCTCCTGAGATTGTCAAGGAAAAAACAATGATTTACGTTATTGCTATTTAATCTTTTTTGAAGTTTCATGTTCCCTCATCTGCAGAATGGAAGTATTACTCAATTTTGAACAGTTTGTAATGGTTGAATGTACAAAGGAATTAGAACAACAGGCAGTCAAAAGTAATAGAGAGAAAGAAAGAAAGAAAGGAAGGAGGAGGGAGAGATATAAGAAGGGAGAGGGAGAGAGAGAGGAAAGGAAAGAAAGAAAAACGAAGGAAAGAAAGGGATGGAAGAAGGAAAGAAAGAAAAAGAAAAGGGAAAAAAAAAGAAAAGAAAGAAATGCTTCTGTACACCTGTAATTTCAGTTGTTTCTTAGGTATGCACATTTGGCCTTGTACGTTTTCTTCTGCAAGGTAGAAGAGTCCTGTCCTAAAGATGGCTTGGTTAAACATATGAAAAACGTTTAGCTTCTTTTAACCTAAAGCGTTTTTAGTTTGTCAAAAGGAAATGTCTATTCCAGAAAAGGCCAAGCCTCAAGCTATCCGTGGCCAAATAACCTTGTCGAAGCTTGGACACGAGGCGCTGGTCTAACGCATAGGCACCCGGCCCTGGTGCTCCTGTGAGCTGCTGCACCTGACCGCTCCCAGCGCAGCCAATCAGGACAGAGCGTGACCGCCACGCCCACCTACCCGCGCTTGTCTGCGGGAGAGGAGCCAATCAGTCTGCTTTGCTACCAGGCAGAGCTGTCGGTTCTTCCTGGTAATCTCTGCAACTCTAACAGACGTGGAGCAGAAGAGCACAGGCCAATCCAAAGCAGGATTCACATTTAACAGCAAAAAGTGTACCCCAACCCTTGAGTGCTTTGATTTTGTTATATGTTAACCTGGTAAATCATTTTAAAATGCACTATCAGAAGGCATGAGACTTCCTATAGTAACTTAGTACCCTGAGAGGCACAGAAGTGCAGTTTGGTTTGATTGTCTTACCAAACGACATTTATGCAGGAAAATAGGCTTCCTGAGTAGTCTCTATAAGACAGTAGGCATTTTGCACTTCTGTGTGCATGTGTTTTAATACCATGGCACATTGTCACTTTTTAAAATTAGAGTTTATGATTTTTGGAAGATGGCCATGTCAGTTACCCATCCCTGATGTCTGTTCTGGCACTTCTAAAGTTGTTCTGTGGGGTTTCATTCTTGGCAGGGTTTAAGATTTTCTGCAGGCTTTATAGAATGGAGTGTGGGTAGAATGAATATGGACGATACATTGTTTCATATTTACAAGAGAGGATGCAGGTTGTGACATTGGTGCACTTAAAGATAGAACTCTTCCATAGAATAGCAAATTTCAGGCATTAGCAGCTTTTATTTATTTATTTTTTAAAGAAATTTTTTAAAGTGAGCCTAGTTTAAATTGTAAAATTTTTTGTTCCTCTAACTTACAAGTAAGTGTGTGTATTGTGAACAGAAGGACATATTAAAGATATTCAGACCAGTAAAGACAGCCAGTTGGAGGTTTGGATTTGTGAGCCATTTCTCAGCAATAAGGCAGGAAGATAGAGTTAATTGTCCTTCCTTGTTAATGTAAATAAGTTCCATTTTAAAAGATACTTGAAAGCATTCTGAGCCTTTTGACAGAAAGGGACAGTATCCAATGGGATTTTGTTTTCTTATTTTATGTGCATGCCCCAATCCACTTTCTAAAAATAGCTTAGTGTACACTCATTTAAAGTGTACAATTCAGTATTTTTGTACTACATGGACAGAGTTGTGCAACCAACATCATCATAATCATTAATTTTAGAACATCTTCATCAACATTCCCCTCCCCACATCTCTCCAGTATTCCTTAGTCCCAGGCAACCACCAATCTACTTTATATATCAACTTGGGACCATATAATATATAGCTTTTTGTAGCCGGCTTCTTTCACTTATAACTCAGTATAGTTTTACATTATTTTCCTCTGAAGATAAAAAGTTATTCTTGCATTTCTTGACGATTTTGAGGTTTGAGTATAATTTGCATGAGACAAAAATTAGAAAGTAGTTAGGCAAGTGGGCTTTTCTCCACCACATAAACTACTCCATATTGCCAATGTTAAAATACCAGATTGTGCAAGCAAACACAGCAGAGCAATTTGTGTCCTTGAGTCCCTACATCGACTTTTTGGGGGAGGGGGCACTGCAGGTTAACAAACAGGACCCATCAAAAAGTGTTTGGATCTGTGTTAACCAAATATAGTTTAAGAGCAACACTTCCTGTCCTTGGAAAACTGGTGATTGTGGGGTATTTAACATAAATTGATGCAAATCTGTGTTTGGTTGTCTATACAGGGGGCAGAGGGAATGGACCCCTCAGATAAACAAACAGGAAAAAGCAAATTTTCCCTTTTGCCCTTTCCCCCTCTTCTCGTTGGCAGAGTGGATTCTCGTTACAGTTTGCTCAAATATTTGGAAGTGAACTTAGGGCCCTCCCCCCAACTTATGATTTATAGCCAATAGGTGATGAGGTTTATTTGCATATTTCCAGTCACAAAAGCAGCCGTGGAGTGGAAACAGTGTCAGACTCAATTCCTCCTCTCTTCTCCACCTCCTGGAGGATATCTGCCACTTCTAGCTGCCCTCCTCCCTTTAAAGGGCGACCTGCCCAGCTCGCGACCGCGCTCCAGCCTCTCCCGCCTACAGATCAGCCTCACCAGCCGTGCAGTTACTACAGAGGGACGCGCCCTGAGATGGACAGCAGAGCCCTGCTCCTGGTGGTCCTGGGCGTGTGGCTCCAGAGTCTGACCGCCTCCCGCGGAGGGGTGGCCGCCGCCGGTATGTTTTGCGCTCAAACTCCCTCCACCTGAGGAGTCGGCCCGGGGGCATTGCCAAGCGATCTGAGGATGGGAAGGAGAAAGTTGGAAGGGGCTGCTGCGGACGCGCACTTGACTCCCACCCGGAGCGCTGGTCCGACAAGGGTTACCAGGGTGGGATTCTGGAGGCGCAGGGAAGCGGTCTGCCGCCTAGTTCCCGCTTTTTCTCTCCCGGGTTCCCGCGCTGTCCCCTGCACTCACTGCAGTCCTGGGCGCACCAGCTCAGCCTGGGAGGATCTGGGGTGTGACGCGCGGATCCAGAGAGGCGGAGAGGAAGGACGCAGTGGCGGTGACCTGCAGTAACCTCTCCATGACGGTGGTGGAGTGAGGGGTTGGAATGAAAGGCACGCGGGCCAAGGTGACCCCGCGGGTCAGCCCTCGCCCAAGCCAGGCAGCACGAGCGGGCAGACAGTGGCCCCTTCTGGGGAGGCCGGCCAGGGTGGGGAGGCGATGTCCCGGTCTTGGCTGCACAGGGCGCTGTCGCTCGCGCTAGGCTGTGGGAGTGTGAGTACGGGTGGGAGCGGACAGGGACGCGTGGCGCAGAGTCGTGGGACCCTGGTCCTGCACGTGTTGGTGCCCGGGAGGAGCGCTCCACTTTTCTCAGTGCTGAGAAAACCTACCACAAGGCTGACCCTCCTGAAAACGTGGCGCAGCGACCAGCAATCTGTGGTCGCTGACTTGGGTTTGCCACCTCATACATTTGGCCACCTTTCTGCCTTTGGAACCCAGGCTCGCCCCGGGACGCCCGGCTGCAGGCACTTGGGGTTTGCAGGCGCCGAGGGAAGGTTGCCGGCAGAACCTCGGTCACCGCCAGGGCGACGAGCGCTCTCCAGAGTGAAGGAATCCCGAACCAAATGCGAATTCCCTTATTACAGACAAGCAGAGAGCCCGGTCCGAGACATGCCCACAAATGAGAGCATGTGTAACTTGAACCTGGGTTCAGCCAACACAGTGCAGCAACTCGAAAAGCACTGAAGCTGAAGCAAGCCATAAAAGGAAGCCACATTTCATTTCCCTTTTGCATGGGGTGGTGGAATTGTCACTAGGATAGTGTCCCTTTGGATGTGCTTTTAGGCGACCAGTTCCAGCCTGTCAGTGATTGTAGCCGAACGCTGGTTTTATTTCTGCACGAAGTTGTGAACATTTTTGTTAGGTTAAAAAAAAAAAACAAAACAGAGATGCCATCAAAACAGAATTTGATTTAGAAAAAAAAAAAAACTGTGCGACTCTGGCCAAGAAAACGGCAGTGATAAACTCCAAATTCTTTATTTCAGAAAGTGCACTACAGTATGGTGTGACTTTTACTGTAAAACACGCACGGAAATGCGTCTTCCACATGTCAAATTTTTGCTGGGCTTCCTTAGAAATTCATGACCCTAATTGGTGGGCTAGTTGGTGTCAACCTCTATGGGTTTAGCTTCCTCAACTCTAAAATCAGGAGTTGGCAAGACTAAAAATTCTCCAGGCTTTCTCATTTTCATTCTTTGATTTCAATGGACACTTAAGCGATTACTTAATTGAATTGGATCTTAACCAACCTGTGCTTTTCTTAACTGTAAAGCGAATTAGGGAGGATAATTTCTAAGTTGACTTGAAATGAATCCCTGTCATCTTTTCCACTTTTGTTCTACCAACCCCTTATAAATGAAGTCTCTCTCATGACAGCCTTCTAGCTCATTCTCTTCCAGGTGAATTCACCTAGAAATATAAGAATGTCTAGAAGAAAGGTGCAGCTTGGAACATCCATAGCTCTTCTCTGGGCTCTGGTTTATTTATTAACTCTGGATTTCTTTCTGGGAACAATATGAGGCTAGAAGGCATTGACCTCAGGTCCTTTCTTCTTGGAGATATTACAGTCTCTGCATGACCCCAATCAGGACACCTGTTCAGCTAGAGAGGGATTCTGTGGGTGCTCCTACAGTGAATTTCCAGGCCGACATCTGAGTTAAACACGATCTGATGACAGAAAACGAGCAAATGTCACAGAGAGAGCTCAGCAAGAGAGATTGATTAATAGCTGCATTGAAAGGTGGGAGTAAGGTGGGGGAAGAGTTGCAACGGAAAATGTTCACTTTTTTTAAGCAGTGTATTTTTAGCTCAGCTCTCCACTCTTGCTTTATTATGGAGGAGAAATTGGGCTATACAGTTTGCGCTATCTGTTCTCAGATTCATTAAAAAAATCTCTGAAACATGCCACATTGGACTGTTCCTTTTTTTTCTCTGACTACCATGTTTCCACATTATTACCACCAATGCTACATTGCCTTAGATGGGGGAGACATTCTGCCCATCTAACTGGTGGCCAATGATGACACGAGGTAGGGAAGACAGTATCATTTTTTTAGGTCTGGAGGGTGATACCATTTGAATTTATTCGTGTATTTTCCAACTTACGGCAACAATAACAACCATCATCAGAGTAAAATTGTGGTGTAGCTCTGTTCACTAAGTATAGTTTGTCACCACAGTGAACTAGATACTTTTTAAATCAAAAGTGAGTACTTTTAAAACTTTTGTCAAAAGTGAGTTTTGTCACATTTTTAATTTGCAAAAGCTGAAGGCTTTGTTAGTGTGTGAAGGAGTAATATAATCGGATTCAATCTTACTCAAACACTAAGAGTTTGAATTCTACTGTGAGGAGTGTCTGTGCATGATGTGACCTCCCATTGCTACCTCAAGACCATTTTGAGAATGTCTGTCTGTATGGAGTGACACCACTGGAGTGCTCAACAAATTCTAGTTCATTCTTGTAGAGGAAATAAATAACCTACTAGGATGGGTTATCTCAGGCAATTTTATTTATCTAACATAATACTCTTATATTATGTATAATATAATATAATGTATATAATATAGAATTATATATAATTATTATATATTAATATAATCTTATATGATATACTTAAATTTCTACTGAAAATGTGCCTATTAAACTTGTGCCAACTTATTCTTTTTGCTTAGAATGATCAAATTCTATCCTAGGTAACTTAGTGATTTTGAGTTTTAAAGGAATAAAGAAGTGTCCCCTGTGCTAACAAAGATGGCCCAGTTGGCATGACACACTTGGTCTCATCCAGTCACCGTGTTCATGGCACACAATGCTTTAGAGTGTGCTTGTCTGTGTGTTTTTCTTAGATGGAGAGGTATATTTCTATGCAGTACCATTCTGGCTTGAGTTAATTTAAACTTGATATGCAAATTTACAGAAGCTTTTACATAGCATGAAAAGCCTGATTCTTAGAGGGATTGGAGGTAAATGGGTAAGAATCTAGTGTTTCTCTGTGGCCCACATTTTAGATACAGCTGGCTCAGAAGTTTACTTTTTTTTAAAGTTGGTTTATAAAGTTAATCATGATTTTTAAAAAGCAGGAGATAGCACTTACATTTTAATTAAAAGAATAGAGTCCTACCCTTTATCCAGCCTTCCTTCAAATGAAAAAATTTTTAACAAGATAATCACTGATTTTCACTGTGTTAGTTTGAGACAGTTGGATATTTCCACTTGCCATCTGTACCAACAAGGAGATTAATTTCAGATTTACAATGCAAGAAATTTGTATTTCGATTAAAAAATCTTGATTAAAATATGCCTTCTTGATGACACTCAACAAAAATATTTCATTAACCAGTCCACAAGACTGGGTTATAATGGCTTACAGTAAGACATACTGGATGGTCTAATTCAACTGGACACTTTTAACACACATCACTCAACCTCATTTGATTTGTCACTTTTCTTTTTGGTAGGTAGAAGTTTTATGCTAAGTTGGGAGAAAATTTAACACAAAATTCAGGTAGTAAGAGCAGGGTTCCTTTTTACAACTCAATTAATAAAGCAAGCATTTTTTTTGTAAAAAGGAAAAGTTGACTTGCTTATTAGATAAGTCAAGAATGGTGTCTACATTGGAATACCCTAACAGATCAAATAATTCAGTCACATGGAAATATTGATATTTCCTTTGCCAAACTGACCAATTCAGAAATTTAGATTTTTTTTGCATCCTATGTCAATAACTATGACGTCTATCTTAGCGAAGAATTTACTGGTGAAGACTGTAGGGGTGTATGTGTTTGTGTGTGTATGAGAGAAATTTCATCTGATAACCTGTTCATCGGATAACCCCAATCTGCCTTCAGAATGTCACCTGTTAATTCCTAGGATGCTCAGTGTCCCTCCTTTTCTAGCAACACTAATGTCCCCTCTTAAAACTTTACCTTTCTCTGAGTGCTTTGACTTAGCCTGATTTCACCTCTCTGAATTAGTATCCACGTTAAGATAAATTTCTTTGCTTTGTTTATACACTCAGATTTTGAGCTATCTATTTAGCAATAAAGATTATATAGTAAGGAAATTAACTTGTAACTTTCCTGGGACTCAAAATTCTCCCTTAGTGCTTAATAAGGACATGTCTGAGGGCCCTGGTTGGCAGGGTAGTGTTGATGTGCTAAGTCAAATTCAGGATGGAGGCTCTTACCAAGGGATTCACTCCAACTACCCCCTTCCTTCCTTTATTCAAAAATGGCCTGATTTCTAAGGAACTCAGTGAAAATGACCTTGTACTTAGATAAGTGCGGAGTCACTCGTGGTACTTGCACGTGTGGAAAACAGTAGTATCCTTAGTAACAGTCATATCAGATCAGCTTATCTGCCACCCCAGTAGCAATCAATCCCAGAGTTCCTGGGACACTCTGATGGAGCCACCTGGAGTCTATCCTGCCACCTGTCTCCATGGTTTCAGCCAGTTCCATGAGGGATGATGGAGGTTTGGAGAAGGTACATAGCCTCCCTGAGGTGTTTCAAACACAGGCAATGTGAAAAATTCCTATCAGAATACCAAAGAGAAGAGAAGATTGGCTAAGAGGCAGTAAGATTTATGACTCATGTCTGACATAGTTGAAACATCACACAGCACATACAATGTATCATTTTCCTCCCAAAACTTGAAATGAAAAATCCTTTAAAAGTGAAATGAAAGTCTCCATGTGCAAACTTGCATGAGAGGGTGTGGATTTCCTGGTAGTTTTTTGTACCTACACTGAACCCGTTTTCTGAACCCAATAAATGAACGTTGTTGGTTGCAGGAAGCTGAAGCTGTCAGTGAGCCATAAGTACAATCTGGTACAGGATCTATAGACTGAACAGACCTTTTTTTCATGGAAATATACAAGCCAACCTTAGTGATTTCAGAGAATATTCATGGTCATTTCAAAATCACCAGCAATACAGGGGCCACCAGGTTGCATAATTCTAGGAAAATGGACTAAAATGAGTGGCGTCCTGGGTGTTGTACAAGGCAATCGTCTCAAATGACAGTGTGACAAAACTAGATGGCAAGTGAGATCTGCCTGCTAGGTTGCTCAGATTCTCTGCTGTAAAAGACAGATAATTGAATGTGTTAAAATAAGATTGTTAGCGAGGAAGTATGAGCTATTTCAGGTAGAGAGATGTGGGAGCAAGTGAAATTAATTTAGTTTTACATCTTCTAAAACACTTTCCAAAAATAAAAGGACTTCTTCTGCACTGAAGGCAGAATTAGATTAAAAATGTGCAATATTCTTTTTCACTGACTAATAAAGCGAGTATTGTTTTCTGGTTACAAAGGAAGATAGAGCCCTGGATCTTCAAATTAGATGAGGTGGGTGGAGGGATCCAGTGAGTTTACTATGTGGCAATAAAAAAGCTATAAAGACCAGTAGTTTAAACCAGGTGTGCTAGTGCACACCTGCAATCCCAGCACTCAGGAGGATGAGAAAAGAGGATCCGTGTTAAGAGGCCAGCCTGGTCTACACAGAAAAACCCTGTACCCCTACCCCTCACACACACACACACACACACACACACACACACAAAAGAATCAGTGTTTTAGCACAGTCCATTATTTGAATAAATGGTGTTAGAGTGTTTAGAAACTGTTGCCAAAACTCACTTCTTTCTCATAAATATCATCATTAAGAAATTTATACTTTTGTTCTACAATAATGTCCTTGATTTTTCTGAGGAAAAGAATGTGCCAATGCATGCTATCTCAATTTTTGAAGCAATTTTTGACTCTAGCCTGTTCATCTAGTTCTATAATATACATCATCTTATATGTGATCAATAAATAATGGAGTGCTGTTAGGATAACATGAAAATAAAATTATTCATTCAATTATTCAAAAAAAGAAATGCATCCTATGTTTTAGGTAGTAGAAATGTGTGTGTGTTATCAAGTTATTGCATATAATGAATCACTTAGCAATAACCAGAATATTGCATGAGGAATTTTGGAAAGTAACCGTTCAAAAGGAAACATTGGCTTGTCCTTAGACAAGCCTGATTCAGTGTCTGTGTTTTCACTGCCCCTGTGTCATTCTTATTTTTCCTCCTGGCCTGATTTTTGCAATGTTATTTTGAAATTACAGGTTCCAAATCTTGAATTGTGAAAAAAAAAGAGTAAATTCAGATTAACAAGAAGTTTTCTTAGTAACTTCATTTATTTTTCACCTGAAAGTTTTGGATAACAAAATTGATGATCTAGGTTATAAATTTTTAGAGTAGCTAGGTAGGGTTTTCTTAAACTTTTATTTTACCTGATGAAGAATTAAATAATCTTCCCAGTACAGGTTCCCTTTACCTGTTCTCTGCTTTGTGAAAAGAGTCTGCTTGTACTGGCAGTACAGTTTACTTCAAATGCCCTCTGAGATTAATACATATTGTGTGCAAGCACCCACAAAGACTGATCACCAGTTACGCTTTCTGCCCACAGTCTCAAAAGCAAGGTTCTTTTTCTGTCTTTATCTAGTTTGGGATTGACTATGAGGAATAGAAGTGGACTCCATCACAACCAGCATTGCTGTGGTTGGCAAGCTCGGCTTTGTGTGGAAGACTGTAAGGACACGAGTAGGAAAAGAACTGTCTAGGGAAGGTTCTAGCCATGGTTCATACAAAGCACGCTTGTATAACATTCTTTCTGAATAATCCATGAGTGATTTCTCAAAGCATTTTGAGCTAGTGAATCTTGGCAGGGGAGTGGGAACAATTCCATATCAAAACTTTCATATGTTTCCAACTTTTCTTCTTGCTAATATTTTTTAAACTTCTGCTAATGAGTAGCTGGGATTATAGACATATACTGCCACACCCTGCTCACACTGGTTCTTTAAAAAAAAACTTTAGGAGCAAAAATAGCATTGGTAGTGGTTGCTTATGAACTCAAAACCTACCCTCACAGCAAATAACCCTTGTAGCTCATCTCTGATTCAATTTTTCCTTTTCCTATAGGACGAAAGGATTTTATGGACATTGAAAGTAAATTTGCCCTCAGGACCCCTGAAGACACAGTTGAGGACACTTGTCTCCTCATTCCTGGAATAGCAGAATCTGTGGCTAACTGCCACTTCAACCACAGCAGCAAGACCTTTGTGGTGATCCATGGCTGGACGGTAAGAGTGGCTCTGTAGGAAATGGTAGTTTGGGGTAGACCAGACCCTTAGTTTTTTGGTATCCAGTGGTGGGTCCACATCACTTACTTCTGCTTGCTTTCTGAAGGCTTTGTTTTAAACTTGATTAAAGGCATTCTGGGCTTGGGGTGGCATTTGAAGTCCCAGGTTCTGGAGCATGCCTGTAATCCTAGGTACTTACTTGGGAGGATGAGGTAGGAGGATCACAGTCCAAAGTTAGCCTGTGACCCTATGAAAAAACTGAAGCCAAAGGGCTGGGGTTCAAACTGGCTCAAGTGTGCAAACTGTGGTTAAATCTACTTATTTAAATATTAATAAAGTCGTGTGTTTCAAATATGCAAGAAACTTTCTATAAGGCAGTTCTTGCTTAAATATTTTAGTTTAGTCTGCTTTAACATTCTCCAATCCCTAGCAAGTAGATTATGTTAGTTATTTTTAAAGATTTATGTAAAACAAATTATTAAACCTGTATTTTCTTTCCATTATGTCAAAATTTGTGAATATTATAGCAGATGCTAAATTCCAATCAGAAGAATCAGCTTAAGAAAAGTAAAATACATCTAGTCCCAATTTCTTCTTTCTTTTTTTTAGATAGGGTCTCTCACTTTTGCCTAGGCCAGACTCAGACTGTGATCCTCCTACCTTCACCTCTGAAATAGCTGGGATTACAGGTATACACCACCACACCAGGCCTCTGGTCCAGACTTCTTTTTCTATAAACTAAAGTGGCATTGTTATTGACATTATAGGACAATTGCTCTAGCATTTATGGAGATAAAGGCAACTAGTAACAGAGCTCACACTGGTGTTTATTTTGATTCAACACATCCATTTCTGGAGTTAATACAGTAAAAAAAAAAAGAGTACATTATATGCCTTATGATAAAAGTTCAAATTTCTAACAAATCCTTTTATATTTTAAAAGGTTTAAATAGGACAAGGGTTTTGGCACTTTGGAGACATTTTGGACATATACAATGCGGCTTTTAATACTTTTCAAAAAGTTTAAGCTCATTAGCATATTTCTGGAACAAGAATAAACTGGATATCCAAGGAATCTCAGTTATAACTCTGAAAGAATTTTGTATTAGGAATTTTTGCAAATATATTTCCTTCTCATAGAGTCTTCACCATATGTCCTGATATTTTGAGGGCCTGGGCTCTGAGGCCATGAGGACTGAGTTTTGCTATCATTCGGGGCTCTTTGGTCTGGAATGATAACCAAGCCAGCCAGTCCTGGCTTACGGTCTCATCTTATCTCAGAACTCAGTGTCGGGTTCAGTTGGATCACCTGGTACAGGTTGCAGGGTGGACATTGGATCAGTAGTATGTCTGATAATCAAAGGCCTACAAAGTGATACTGACCTCAAGAAGCCCAGAAAAACCTAGAAAATAAGACCTTTCCTGAGTTGAGGAAAGTGGAAGCTTGTGTTTCTTACTCCCTTTTATATGTATTTTATATTTAATCAAAAAGGAAAGGATTAGGTAAGTTGCTACCTAATTAATAAAAAATATCAGCCACTGTAGGAAAGTCAATTACTTGCCCGTTTACAGGTTATCTGACTTGGAAACGTTGATTGGCTAGAGAAACTTAGCAAGAGACCTAGAACAAACACCCTGCCTGAGATAAGCCGTCTGGCCACTCAAGGACATAGGCTAAGGGAAGTCAGGACACGCTTCTGCCTGGCCAGGAAAGAGCCCGAAATATGCTTATCATGTAGCATGCACAGGGTGCAACCCAGCAGGCCACCCAGACACAGCTAGCCTGAAGCTTGCCACTTGCTGGGATTTACTTGTTTAAGTACAGAGTTCTTTGTAAAGCAGGTCCTCGGTGCTGGCTCAAAGAAGGATGCTTTAACATTACTTTCTGAAGAAATGACACCATCCTCTCTTGATCTTGAGAGGCAGCTATGATAGGTGGGCAGCGCCCTTGCTGGGAAGGGGGGCAAAGGAGGAGGGGTAGGACAAGTTCGTTAGGGTTTCACCCTCAGGGAGTATCCAGCTTGTTCCCTCAGAAACCCACTCTGCACCCTGACTCACTGAGCATGTTTTCAGAGGAGATTTACAAATGTTCCTAGTGGACTAACATCACCTTTGCACCTTGTCTTTGTTCTCTCCGTGCTGGAAATAGTTGTAGAGCTGACATTTGTAGACTGGGAACCAGAACGGTCACAAGTAGAAATTTATGAGGTGGAGAACATTGAGGTCATCTGAGTGGAGCCCCTCTGTTTTACAGGTGGTCTGAGAAGTAAGTTTTTTATGGAAATCACTAGTGAAGAGGTGGAATTACCTCTCCTGAGTCTTGAACCAGCTTTTTTTTTCCACCACAGGGCACAGCAACTTGGTGAAAAGTTGCATAATTTGATAAGTGTCAGAAATGACCCTAGAACTCATGTTTTAGTAAAACATGTTTAGTAAACATGTTTTAGTAAACTCATGTTTAGTTTTAGTTTAGTAGATAGTTAAACAATAAAACGTAAGTCTGAAAGAACTCACCTTATAAGATTAAAGTTCCAAATGACCTCACTCGTTTGGGGAATCCAAGACTCCTAATTTCTGTTGGAATTGCACTAAGTATAATCTAGTTTTCACAGGTCTTCCATTAAAATCTGCCTTAAACATGACTTTTAGAATCTTTTTTGTTCAGTATACAATTGAGCAACCTTCACGGAGGCTGCAATATGACCTGCTTTTTCATGTAATTAGTACATCAGTGTACGGAAATGATTCTTTGTGAGAAAACATGCATTTATATTCCCTAAAATAATTCCATCAGGAAACATTTACTAGCTTAATTAAAGGCAATTAAACCAAACTTCTTTAAAAACAGACTGCAATTCTATCAGAAAATTTCATTCACATTGACTTTTCTCTTTCATAGTGTAATTATTGACGTTTTACTGAATTTACAAAACACATTTTTGAAATTGAAAGTGTGATAAACTCAGTGTGACGTTCCTGAGCTCAACATGTATCTTTTGGTACACTCAGCGTTGTCTTGGAGGGGCAGGCATGGGACTTGGAAGACTCTTGAGGTTCGATTTTCTTGTCTGAGTCAACAGGCTTTCTTGAACACTCATATGTCTCATTTAATGTAGGTGTGTTAGTGTTTCACACGAATGCTTGTCTCACCCTCTTTAGGTGACAGGAATGTATGAGAGTTGGGTGCCAAAACTTGTGGCCGCCCTGTACAAGAGGGAACCAGACTCCAATGTCATTGTGGTGGACTGGCTTTTGCGGGCCCAGCAACATTACCCAGTGTCCGCAGGCTACACCAAGCTGGTGGGAAAGGACGTGGCCAGGTTTATCAACTGGATGGAGGTAAGGCCAGGAGAGGAGCTTAGGTGTCTAAAATAGAGCTTTTGGCCAGAACTGGATAAGTGTTTGGCCTTATTTCCTTTTCACTTTGCTACAGATATTTTCTGGGACAATTTAGTTTTCAGAGTGCGTGTGGGCATTATTTTTTTGCCAAAAGCAGATTTTACGATAAGAATGATGACTATAAAGTCAATAAATAGTTCTGCCCTCCCCTGTCCTTTGAAATTTTCAGTGAATAAATCTGTTGAGGCCAAGAACTAAGTGGGCAGACCAAACAAAAGCCTGTTATGTTATTTTAGGACAAAGGGAAGATGGCATGTTCAGCCAACTCCTCCCCCCCCAGCTGACTAGACGTAGACATTTTATTCTCACTTTGTCTCCTGTGAGAATATCATGCTCTTGGATAAAAATATTAACAGCATTTGGTCAAGCATGGTGGTACACAATTGTAATCCCAGGATTTGGGAGGCTGAGGTAGGAGGATTGAAAGTTTGAGGCCAGCTTGGACTACATAGTAAGACCTTATCTCAAAAAACCAAACCAACCAAACAAAAGTATCAGTGGTATTTATTTTTTAGTGTGGATTAAGGATCAGGTTCTTGTTGAGATACAGATGGTCCAGCCTCCTGGTTTGGAAGAGATGAATTGAGCTAGGAGGACAGGGCTTGAAAGGTATGTAGGATGTGTGGAGCTCTGACTTAGCTACAGGTTTTACCCACTTCCAGAGAACAGCTGACTTTCAGGCCATGCTATGAAAATTTTGTAAAGCATTTTGAGGTTGGAAGGAAGCTAAAACTCTGACAGGACCAAATTATTTAAACCAGTTAATTGGTAGTTAAAAAAAAAAAGCTGAGTTTGTTGGACCACCCATCAAAACACAAAAGTTCTTTTCTTGGCTCTTTTGCGAAACAGGTGAACTTGGAAAAAATCAGGTCACCTCCCTGGGCCTCAGACTTCTCACCTGTTGAGTGAAAAGGCACGACCTCATATGTTTCCCATCTCTTTCCATACTTTCTAATTATAAGTCATTGTTTGGCTAAACTTAGAGAATAAAGTGATACAGGAATAATGTGTGAAAATTTATATATGCATGCATACGTGTATATACACCTATATTATATATACATCGTCATATGTAACATACATGTATATGTATAAATAATACAGGTTAAGGTATGTGGAAAAACTTTCTAATTTATACCTGTTGTTAAAGAAAGAGAAAAATCTCAATACTAGAGAATACATTTCTCTCATACCTGTACCACAAAACTAAAATAAGTAAATTTAATTTATAGTACTGCTCATATTGCAAAAATGATATTTACATTCAATTTTTTTTTTTTTTAGTTTTGACCTTTGGCAAAGAGCTTTAAGAAGTTCTTTT